GCCACTTCAGTTCTAAGGCCAGAAAACCATAGGATCCCTGAAGGTTGGGGCGGACATGGAGATACGATTCATCAGAGGCAGTAGAGACATACATTTTCCCTGCTCAGTGTCACCTATTTTAGGGGCTCCACTCTCCAGCCTGGAGCCATCCCAACAGAGCAAGTATTGAGGATGCCTTACACTATTTCAACCCTCTGGTGGGTGAGCACTCTGCTGTTAAGGAACCTTGCAGTTACTGCTGGATTTATCCCTCAGCAGGGACCAGAAAAGTAGCAGAGGTTATGGCCTTCCAATGATAGATCTGAAGGTAACTCAGGGCATCCTTGTTGATCTTGGACCAACTTTGATCTCACCTCCCTGCCTGGCATTTCACACCTATCCGGCAGCATGTCCTTCAGTGATCCATGCTGCGATTGGCCATAGCCCACTGCCCAATTGTTTTCTCCTATCCCTCAACTTCTGAGCAGATTTCTATTTGTAAGAGTGATTACAATATTCCCTGGTATTCTATTTCTAGAAGTATCTAATGTGTCTTTCATCTAGTCAAGCGCTCAGGAAATATGGTGATGGACACTGTAGAAATGTGTATATAAAAAGAATGTGATTTGGAGACCTTAAGTTCCAATTTGATAGTTTATAAGAAGTCTGATTCTTTATCTGCTTTGTTCCAGAGAATCTAAAATAGGTTAGAAGTCTCTCTCATTAACTTTTAGTAAATGAATCAAGAAATTGTACATCACGGAAGGTTTTCCTTGTTTCATGAGAATTAAGGTCTATTCCAAGAGGGTGACAGCAATTCCTGGGCCAAACAGACAGGCAGGTTATATTCAGTACTTGGCTCAGGTTTCAGACTGACTGACCACTGCAATCACAATCACTATAAAACCCTGTCTATGGCTAAACATAGAGCTAGCTGTCAGGAACTCTTGTTATAATCTCAGCAATGCAACTGATCCACTGTTTGGCCTTGGACAAATCATTTGTTTTCCAATGTATAAAATAAGTAAATATTATCATCCTTTTCATTAGCAAATCATGGTTTGTGATGGTCTCAGGAAGCCAAGATGTAAATGCAGGTTTTTCACAGTTTACCTATGTTTTACTTTATGTATTATATGTAACCATAAAGCCAATAAGCTTGGAGGAAGCAAGAGAGGAAAAGGAATGAGAGGGAAATAAGAGACGAAAATAAGAACTGAAAAACCTACACTTCAAATACACATTATAGTCTGTTTGATATAACATTTGTAAATATAAACCCATATATATTTTATAATATAAACTTCTTGCTGTGGGGTTTTTCAAATAAATATACTAATATACAAAAATCAAAGAGGAAAACACACACTTCAAACAAACATTCTAGATATTTTAATCTCCTGAATGTAATTGACAGGCAAACAAAGAGAGTAGCCACCAGAAATATCATTGTTATTTAGTATCTAAACTGTGCTCAACAGAGAACCTGTGTTACAGACTAGCAGAAACCAGTCACACGCAGGGCCGGCTCCAGGCACCAGTGAAGGAAGCACGTGCCTAGGGCAGCACATGCTAAGGGGCAGCATTCCGTCTATTCTTGGAGCAGCACAGTCCGGGTGGCTTTTTTGGGTTTGTTTGTTTTTTGCTTCGGCAATTCGGGCGGAAGTCCGAGCGGCTTTTTTTTTTTTCCCCCCCGCTTGGGGCGGCAAAAATGGTAGAGCCGGCCCTGGTCACACGTTACGTGTGTTTCAGTGACGCTTCCACCTAAAACTCTTACTTAAATTCCAGTGACCTGCTTAAGTACTCTTCTGAGTATAGAGGCTTTTCTGAATTGGGGTCTTTATAGCAGTATGAGTAATTTTACACTAATCTGCAAGATATTAAATTATTAGTTTCTCAATGAGCAACCAATACTTCTAGCCTCCCTCCCTCCCATTCATCCTGCATCAGATTAGACTTACAGTATTTTACCCATTCTCTCCAATTCTTTGCACTCACGTAATTTCTACATTTTAATTTCATAATTTCTACCTTTTTTTTGGGTGGGTATTTTGCCCACCTCTTTGACATGCCAATTCCTTCAGCTGTTTCCAAAATGATCATTATCCAGTGGGTTTTCTCTTTATAGCAACACATCCTATCCATTGATATTTGTGCCTCCTAATCATCTTAATGTTGCCTGTCACTTCATTTTGCCGCATCCGTTAGTCTGGTTTCCTAGCCAGCAATGTACATTAACATGGTTATCCTCACCATTCTTTTTGATGGTGTCAAGCATCAATGCTATTTTCTTGATGAGGATTTATGGCTTTGAACTATAGATCACCATAAAAAAATATTAGCCAGTAAAGTGTTGGAAAGAGATTTACTGACTTCAAAAGAGTGCATCTCCTTATTTGCTAAGCTTCTCCTGGAATTTAAGAGGAAAACACTGAACTAGAATGAAATGTGCATCAATATATGTTATTTTTTTCAAATAAGGTGGGGGGGATGATTTTTTTCTTAAAGACATGAAGGGGAGTGAACATCTATCACCTTTAAACAATTTTCAAAGAGTTGCAGAGGGATTGTGCTACAGTAGTTTACTCTATTCCCCTTTCTTTTGATTTTTTTCCAAAATAATCTTGTGAAGCTCATGTGGCTGTACATTTCTCAAGTGAACATAACACTAAAACTGCTTTAGCTCCAACATTTCTTAAAACAGGAACTTATTGTAAGAAGTTATTACTTAAATTCCATATTTTAAGATGAACATGTCAAGTAGTGAAAAAATCCAATAGCTGAATTGTCTTTGAGATCAATTACTGCAGTGAAATCATGTATTAAGTATGTTGATAATCTCTTTCTAAGTGCTAAGCTAGTGATCAATAAGTCTTTAGTTCCTTAGATCTCATTTATCACCTTTCTTATGTAAAACAGTAGTATTACACCAATTCGCCTGCCCTTTGTTTGCTCAAATGCATTCTGTAAACATCAGTTATTTCTAAAGACTTCCCTGTGCTTTAGAAAAAGATATCTAAATCAATACTGCCACACTGGCTATTTTCTTTCTTCATCAGTTATTCTACTTAGGCAATTACTTTATTATAATAGATAATAGTTTACTTACAACATGTTATAAAAATCCTTACCCAGCTTGTTGAATGGAGGTGAAAAAAAATTAGGTTGTATCAGTGCAGTAGATGATTTGTTAAGTAATATTTTGCAACATATTTACATTAAAGTCTACACAACTATAAACCTCAAAAACATGTTTCAAATTAAAGAAGTACAGAAACATGTTTGAAAATCCTTAATTTTACTTTGGATATCTAGCTGCAAGGCAGAAGGTGTTTATATGGTAAAATACTGTAAAAACAGGATGAACAAGTATTTGCATTATCTTAATGACAGTACTGCTGCTAGATGCCACAATACAATTATGCCAGTGTAGTTCATGTCACTATGGCTCTTAATATAGCTAATTTTGTTTCGGAGGAAAGAGAGGTGTTTGCTCTGCCCTTCCCTGATGTATGTATTTAACTCATATAATTAATGTTAATCAGAGTTTTAAGCATGGTTTGTGGAAAGAATAGAGCATTTGTCATAGAAAAATTGGAATTGAAGGGAAGAGGCAGAAGTGACCACCAATGTTTTCTTTTCATCATTCACTGTCTTCTCTCTTTTTCTACCCTTATTTTTCTTAAGCATATTCCACAATATTTAGAAATATGACTTTTTGAGACTTTCCTTTCAATCTAATATCCTATACTTATCGCCATGCTCATCAAGAAGGGAAACCATGCCAGGTTTGATCAAACCCAGCTTTCCTAGGTTACATGTCCAATGCAGCTAGTTCCTACAGTCCTGGGATACTGTAGCAGGCACTATGATAATACCAATACTTAATAATCTTCTTTCCAACTTTACATTTAAAGAGTCCTTCCTTCAGATGTTGCCATATACCCTTCAGTCTTATCTCCACTTGCCCTCACTTTCGTAGTTAAAAACCAGCTAGCAAAGAACTGATTTCATACTTCTGAGTTTACTAATACAAGCTACATAGACTAATAAGTAGCAGGTCACAGCAGTGCCCTTTATTAACTTGTTTCTACTCATTTTAATGCAAGTCTCTGCTATTGAAGTAGTACGATTCTAAATTTACATAGAGGCCCATTTCTTCATGTGAATGACTACTGTAAATACTGCTTACTTCAGCAGTTCATTTTTAGTAATAGCAACTTTATATATTTATTTATTTACTTACTAATTTTGTCTCCAATGCTTCAGGGGAGAGATCAAGACTACCCTTTCCCCCTCCTGCTTTAGTTTTAACTAGGAACAGTATTTTTGGAGGAATGGGGGCTTTAGGTGAAAATAATGCAACAATTAAGGCATTTTAAGAAATAAAGAGATCATAAAAATGAGATTTAGGTTTAGTGAAATTCATGTCTACGTGCCTCTGATGTGTGCACCACTATTTTTCCATTACCTGTGTACTCTATTGTTGTACGTTAAAATATTTTGTAAAGTATTTCATTTGGTTTTTATATGCAAGATTTGATAGCTCCTTACAGAAATTAAGTACTTTTGTAAATGTGGGTTTAATGCATGATAGCTTCAGCAGAGTCTACACCCACTTTTAGACAGTATTTATATACAGTACCACATTATATGCAAGGATGCTACCACTCTCGAGTGTCAGTTGCCTCTGCAAAACAAGCGACAACTTGGATAGCTGTAAAATCTGCAAGCCACTGCCAGAAAACAGTGAAAATTCAAGCCAGTGAGTGGCCTCCGGAATGGCCAACAGCATATCAACAGTGAAGCAGTACAGTAAGGCTACGTCTTCACTACGGGGTGGGGAGGTCGATTTAAGATACGCAAATTCAGCTACGTGAATAGCATAGCTGAATTCGACATATCCGAGCCGACTTACCCCGCTGTGAGGACGGCGACAAATTGACCTCTGCGGCTCCCCCGTCGACGGTGCTTACTCCTACCTGCACAGGTGGAGTACAAGCGTCGATTTGGGGATCGACTGTCACGTCCCGATGAGACGCGATAATTCGATCCCCGAGAGATCGATTTCTACCCGCTGATTCAGGCGGGTAGTGAAGACATAGCCTAAATGAGTAACTCTACAGTTGTGGAAGTTCACAGAATTCCATTTTTGGGGGGTTTTAAGCCACCTCTTTTGTTATATGGATTTCAAGAGAATAGGACATATATTTATGTGCACATAATGCAGTACGTAGTGTCATTAGTCTTAAAACAAGAGTCCCTAGAATAATTTTGATAACTTCACATTGCATTTGCTGTTTCTCCAAAGAAGCTGAAGGGAAGCTATTAACTTGTGGCAGCTATGTGGACTATGTGTCTATTTTCATTCATTCAAGGTTATTTTTGAAACCTAATTGAGAGCTTCAAGTGTCCAAGTAAAAGTTCCTAGATTCTCTAAACGTGAATTTACCCCTTGATGAGGGGAGTTGAAGGATCAGCTTCCTTTAGCTAGCCCCTGCTCCTGGTAAGTTAAGGCCAGCTTTCCACCAGAATCTTCAAGCCACTTCTCTGGGTCTCTTCATAACAGAGGCACAATTAGGCCTCATCTCCCCTATCCTTGCAGGGGCATTGAGCTTCTCAGAGCCTGGTTCCCTAACATCCTTGCCCATGAAATTCTACACTTCTACCGCTCATCCCACTGTTCTTGTTGACAAAAACAAAAAACAAAAACAAAGCTTCCTACTTTTCTCAATTCTGTATTTTCTGCTTAGTACATCCCCCAATTTTGCACTTTTCCTCTGCCTCTCTTCCTACTGCTACAGGAGAGGGTTTTTTTTGCTGCTCTGGATGGCAGCTACCAATTCTAACCATCAAGGCCAGAAACCTTACCCTCCACATTGTTCTGATGTTGTTCAAAGTCAGCAGGACAAACGCAGGGGAAAAAAATCATTTGCTCTGTTTTGTTTTTAAACTCAAGTCTCGCTGATCAAGACTGTAAACCTCTGAACAGACCCAACAAGAGCATACGTGTGTGTAAATTAGCAAGAATGACAGCTGCTAAATCATCAGTTATATCAACAGATTGCCACCCCCCTTTTTTCCTGGAGCTTTAGAAAGGTTTCCAACTTTTTCCACAGCTGGTCTTCCATGCCATGGAGTATAAATTGTCAAGAGATGAGAGATACTTCATCCTTCCCCAAAGAAATGAGCATGGATAATGAATCTGCAGGCCTCCCATCTCAGTCGAGCGATTAATAAAATGCACATGAAACCAAGATTTCATGTATCGTTTTTGAAATACTAGCACCATGTACATCTTTATTTTATGACTTTTCCAGAAATCAGGAATTAAAAAAAACACCACTAACTCCCTGCTTCCACAAACACAAGTTCCAAAAGCTGCCATATTTTAGCTCAGCTCAAAATTTCAAGTAATATTCATGCAGCAATATTTAAGGACCTTTTTCCCCCTTGCTAATTTAGCAGTATCTAGAAATATATTCTAGAGTCTATTAGAATGTGACTGATGAGATTATGAAGTTGAAAAATAGGCTTATCAATGCATTCAAATAATGAAATAGCACCAGAAGATCATGAACAAAATACAAGATGTATCATCTGCTCCAGAAAATAATTTTTAATATTTTCTAAGCTAACAATGAAAATTAAAATATTATTCCTTCTAAACTTATGGATGGATTGGATAACACCTACTGACATATTTTCAAAATGGCAAACAAATAGTTAAGAATACAAAACATTCACAAACAAAATACATACATCTTTTTGGTCTGTTTAGCCAACAATAAATAATCCTTTAATTGATTTTAATGTAGCTTGTGCAAATAGAAATATAATCTTAGAAAACAGACACATGTACACTATTAAACACTTTATTCAATATTAGCTGTATTAGCAATTTCATGTCAGAATTAATGAGCTGAAAGATTTTGGTCTAATGACTAAGGACCTACTTGAAATGTGGGATGATTGTCAAAAAATTGCAGCTGAGTTGTGGACAAGTAATGGAAAATTGTGGAAAAGTAATAATGGACCTTATTATTACTGCAAATAATAATATCCATTATTACTTTTCTATGATTTTTCCGCTGTCAGTTGCCCGGGGCTGTGAACAGGGGCCCAGAGCTGATAACGGGAATATTGGGAGGGAAGGGGGGGGAGAGAGGGGGAAAACGGACTCCCAGCTGTCAGCCACATGGGGCAGCCAGGACTTTCAGTGAGAGCCACACACATGGCAGGGCTCCTACCGTCCTATCACCAGTTAAATAGTGCCTTACTAATGACATATTAATTGCAAACAGGAAATGTCGGATGTGTGTTTAATTTACACTTGCCTAATTAATTTTAAGTTTGTTTTAGTACTAGTTATAGAATATATCTTACATATACGCAATTGCTACTTTTCATGACCAGTAGATACCAAGGTAATTTATTGTATAGTCACAATAGTTAGCACTACTGTTTCCAGTGCTGGTCTTTAGATACTACTAGAACCTAGTTTCTGTAACATACATATGTTGACCAGTTGCAATAAATAGCATTGAAAAGGTACATGTCTCTCAGTTAACTTAGCAATGTACTGTGTATATTGCAGAATCATCCTCCCACACATCAACACTGGATGAAAGACACGGACGTCATTCTTCTTTTAGTAAAAGCCAACTATGCAGAAAGAGAAAAACAGGAAGAATTAATTTCCACTCAAGCTAAAAATATCTTTAAAAAATTAAAGACATTTAACTTATTTGTTTGACAACTGGTCATTGTACTGTACCTTAAGTCTGAGAGAAGCTCTTTTTTTCTAACTCCTTTCTTCATTGCCACTGCAGTCTTCTCAATGGACAAAACCCCCATCATTCAGCTGTCACTGCTTTGAAGCTTTACGTTATCTTGAAACAATAAGTTTCTTCATGTTAAATCTTACAGATATCTTAAAATATAGCTGCAGTTTTTCTATTACTCACCCAGTGAAAATTCTGGTGTTTGTGCTTGTAAGCTTTTACCTCATTTTCTGCAGTTCTACCTATGATGGTGTTCCAAAAGTCTCTCTTCAGCCTAACCCAAAAAGCATGTAGCAAGTCTCATAATTGTTTTGCTTCACTATCAATATGCCTTCCCCTCTTCACTTCATTCCCTAGTCTTGCAGTCTTCTATATTGTCACTTTAAAAAAATCTCAATTATATTCACTGCTATTATTGGGAGGGATAGCTCAGTGGTGTGAGCATTAACTGCTAAACCCAGGGTTGTGAGTTCAATCCTTGAGGGGGCCATTTAGGGATCTGGGGCAAAAATCTATCTGGGGATTGGTCCTGCTCTGAGCAGGGGGCTGGACTAGATGACCTCCTGAGGTCCCTTCCAATCCTGATATTGTATGATTGTAATTCATCCTGTTTTTCTATTGCCATTTCTAAATATCTGGCTCTTTATCTTTTAGCCTGAGCTCTTTAGACTCCCTTCCCCTCTTTTATTTCATTTAAATAGAATTTCAACACTTAATCGATGCTTTATGTGCTCTTTTAAATTCAACTTCTGTTCTCTTCTGGAATGAAGAGTTTGATGCTTGTTTTTGTGGACTGTCCTTCTGTTACCCTTTCCCAGAATTACTAAACGATGTCATTATTACTGGGCTTTGTTTCTTCTTTTTTACTAGTTTTTAGACTACTATATTTAGATGCCTCAGAACATGTGACTTACAAAAATATTTGAAAAGAAGGATTAGAATGGTCCATGCTCTGTTCAAGGCAGTCATGAACTCACTGCAATAGGTCTTTTCCATTTCTAACTACAATGGTCTGAATAATTAATCCAGAGACCATTAGCTCAAGGAATAAGCCAAACAGCAAGCGTACAGTGTTGCCACATCCTCCCACAAAAGCAGTGCCTTTGCGATTTAAAAGAATGAGATGTGTGTACTATACTTCATTGCAACATCAGTAATTTTACTTTTAAAAATATGTAATGAAGTAGAATTACAGTAGATCCTCAGAGGTACAAACAACAGAGCTATGAACTGTCCAGTCAACCACACACCTCATTTGGAATTGGAAGTACACAATCAGGCAGCAGCAGAGACAACCCCACCCAAAAAAAAGCAAATACAGTACAGTACTGTTTGTGAGACGTTATCTGATAAAATATGACCATGTAGATCATTGTTGCTACCACTGTTCTATAATTGCAACAAATCTGGTACAAAGTATGCCAAGTAAGGTGTCTCTGGAGAGGTTATGATTTTCCAAATATGATTATGCTATTTGTATGCATGTATCATTTTTGTATCTGAAGTTATGGATATTAACTATGTACCTGTATTTCAAATGTTTGCTCATGTGGTAACATCCACAAGGTATTTAGCCCACACATTTTGAAGGAACTATTCAAGTTGAATGGCCCATCAAAGATCACTTAACTCACAATGGAAGACACCTATCTACACTTAATGGACTTTCCTGTGAATGTTCTAACTGGAGTATGGGGGATGGCCTCTACTATCACTAAGCGAAGCATGCATGGACATGTGATTTGCCCATATGATTCCGAACACAATCTTGTTCCTTGTAATTTTCCACAGTGAGAACAATGGGTTTCCCTTCACTTGGCAGAGGCTATAAAAGACCCTGGAAACATCTCCATTTTGCCTCTTTCCTGCTCAAACCTTTGGACTTATACTAATAGGAACATTCTAACCAAGGGACTGAGGACCTTCCAATGATTTGGAAGCAACCAGAGACTTAACAAGCCAGCAGTTTATTTCATCACTGCTACAAGCCTGAACCAAGAACTTTGCAATTGTTATATGTATTTGATTCCTTTAACCAATTTTAACTTTCACCTTTCTTTCTTTTTATGAATAAACCTTTAAATATTAGATAGTAAAGGACTGGCAACAGTGTGATTATTGGGTAAGATCTGAGTTATATATTGACCTGGATATGTGGCTGGTCCTTTGGGATCAGAAAATCCTTTTGTTTGATAAAATTGATTTTAAATAACCACTCATCATTAAATCTAGTGTATGGGTGTTGAATCCAGGACTGGAATACCTAAGGTGGCTGCATTTCTAACTTCTTGTTAGCCAGTGTAGTGAGATAGAAGTTTACTTTTCTTGCTGGATTGGTACATCTTATGGGAGAATAACCACCAGTTTTTGCGTGTATCTGCCCTTTTTCCCAGCAGCTTGTCCTGAATTTGGTATTCTCCGTTGTGACCCACGGAGGCACGGTGACACGGTGTTAAACGTAAACAATTAAAAAAATAAAGGGAAAGGAGCATTTTTCTTCTGCATAGTAAAGTTTCAAAGCTGTCTTAAGTCAATGTTCAGTTGTAAACTTTTGAAAGAACTATGTTTTCTTCACAGTTATGAACATTTCAGAGTTACGAACAACCTCCATTCCCAAGGTGTTTGTAACTCTGAGGTTCTATTGTACTCATCTCACTTTTATTTTTAACCTTCTTTTCCTTTCTGTCTTTCTCCACTAGCTCCTTTCCACACTGATCATGATGCTGTTTTCCTGCATTTTCGTGTCTTCTTCCTCTTTGCCGCTATCCCCTTAGATCTTCCTCCGCATTATGTTCTCTACATCCTGCCCTATATTCTCTTCTCCCCATAAAGTTTCTCTATCACACTTTTCTTATTTCTTACATTTATCTTTCCCCACGCATGTACCTACAGCTTGAAAATTTTATCACAACTTATAGCAAAACGATTAAGAAGGGCAACACCCAGGTGAGAAGCCAAATGTCTTGGAAAGGTTGCCGGATTCTTAACAAGGGGCTGTCACTGGACCCATATGGAGGCTTCATCTTTCGTGTCAGTGTCCAGTTAGGAGGAGTCAGAGTTGCAGAACCTTACACTCTCTGCTGTGACTAGCAGAAGGGGAAAAGATCATTCTCTGTAAGCCTATCTGCTGCCGCAAGATTGGTACTCTGACACTCTCCTCTCACAGCCTTTGATTCTGGTACCCTTTTTCAACAACTAGATTTCCAGGTCTACTTCCATTGTTGCTTTCACAAGCACAAGAATAAAATTAACCTGTTTATATTATTTGCAGTGTTGCTCAAAAAACTCTGAACAGCATTAGTGAAATCTGACAAAACTCCAGTGAGTTTTTAATTCTCTGACAACCTGACAAAGATACAGTATAACCTCAGAGTTACAAATACCTCAGGAATGCAGGTTGTTCGTAACTCTGAAAAAAACATTATGGTTGTTCTTTCAAAAGTTTACAACTGAACATTGACTAAGTAAGGTTTCAAAGCTGTATCATGCAGAAAAAAAAAAGCTGTTTTCCCTTTTTTTAGTAGTTTAGGTTTAACATAGTACTGTACTGTGTTTTATTTAATCTATACTGCTGCTTGATTACATACACCTCTACCCCAATATAACGCTGTCCTCAGGAGCCAAAAAATCTTTCCACGTTATAGGTGAAATCGCGTTATATCGAACTTGATTTGATCCGCCAGAGTGTACAGCCCTGCCCCCCCCCGGAGCACTGTTTTACCGCGTTATATCCGAATTCGTGTTATATCGGGGTAGAAGTGTACTTCCGGTTCCAAATGAGGTGTGTGGTTGACTGGTCAGTTTGTAACTCTGAGATTCTACTGTACAAGTACCCCAGAGAGGCACTGGAGCTGTCTGTCTGCAGAGTTAAGACAACATTTAATCAGTTTATATTTGGTTCGTGGTTGTTTAGAAGGTTGTCATGACAACCACTATGGCTAGAATTTAAGCTTTTATTTAAAAAAGTCTCTGTAGAAGTTGATAATATTCATCCAGGAAAGCTGCCTGTTCACTAACATCAAACTCATTTTTCAAGCCTCGATGATCATCCTCTGTCAGGTGTGCTTTAACAAATGGCAAGTCATAAGTTTTGTCCCAACAAGATGCCAATTAGTTTACAAAAGCAGTCATTCCACTAGCAGTTATTTGCATGACTTGACATGTGATAGATTAGTTCAACTGCCTAGTTTGTTTGGTCTACAAGTAGATATATATTTATATAGGCTGCTTATACAGAGACAAAAAAGTTATTACTTTCTTGCTTAAATTTCTGTTCATAACACTGAGGAAAAATTAGCTTTCTTAGGAGTCAGTTCAGTGGTTCTCTACCAGGGCTACCCCTTGGGGGTACTCAGGTCTTTCAGAGGGTACATCAACCCATCCAGATATTTGCCTAATTTTACAATAGGCTACTTAAAAAGCACTCACAAAGTCAGTACAAACTAAAATTCCATATAGACAATTACTACTTTATACTGCTGTATATACTATACACTAAAATGTAAGTACAATATTTGTATTTCAATTAACCTATTTTATAATTATATGGCAAAAATGAGAAAGTAAGCAGTATTTCAGTAATGATGTGCTGTGACACTTTTGTATTTTTATGCTGATTTTATAAGCAAATAATTTTTAAGTGACGTGAAACTTAGGGGGAGTACGCAAGACAAATCAGACTCCTGACAGGGGTACAGTAGTCGGGAAAGATTGAGAGCCACTGAGTTAAAGGGAATATTCACTGAGATCCAACGCTGTATTACTGGGTAATATGCAGGGAGGTCCAGTTAGGATTTCATTCCCAATCCAATTTTCCCTCCTTAAGAACTGAATTATGGTCAGTTTTCAAATATATGCAGTATTAAAAGCTCACACATTTTTTTTTGGGGGGGGGGATGCAAGGAGGGAGGGAAGAGGGCCACATGTGCTGTAGGTAGGAGGGAGGGAGCAAGAAAAATTCAGACTGATTTGGGATGATATACTCAATGGCACATCTACACTGTCACCATGTTCCTATAAACTGATTATGAATTTATGATTACAGACCTGAATTAATATGCTTCATGGGATCTTTCAGGAGCCAAGTGAGGAAAGAAATGAGATGAAATAGTTTAATTTCTGAAGAGCAATTTTAAACTAGTTAGTGAAGTCAAAGCATTTGCAGCATAATTAAATTTTCAAATAACCCTAGAAAGTTTCCATAAGAAACACTGATTTCTGCTTCACTCTTTCTGAAGTCAATCCATTTTCAGAAGCCATTTGAAAATGACATAGGCCAGTTTCAAAAGCTTAAACTAGCTGAATGAAGAGGGCTATAAAACAATTCATACCATAGGTAAAATATATATTTGACGAAACATGCATAAATTAATATGCAAAATGCACATTCTTCCAAACAGCTTTCTGAGTGTCACTGATGTCAATAAGATTAACATCTGTCTCTAAATGTGACAAATTGCAGGTCTCTTAATGCGGAAAGAAGCTGTTCTTTGGAAGGGCACTCCCAATTAGGAGCTATTTCTAAAGACTTTACTTTCAAGCACAAAAGGATAAAAATATATTGCTAAATGACTGATAGCTACTTGGAAGTTAATGATGTTTCTTCGGTTCTGGTTAGCAAGAACATATCTGACACAAACATACAAAAGAGGAAAACAGTCTGCAAAGTTAAACACAAATTATATCTTATGCCTAAACTATCTTATCTCTAGGCTGGAAATCTACAGTTTATGGTTGAACAGTCAGCCTTGGACATTTTCTCCCATTTTCATCTCTACATGAAGTTCTGATCACTTAAATTATTCAGGAACAAAATATTTCAAAAGATCTGGGCTTTTGCAGTTAAAGTTGCAACTAGGCCAGTGATTTTTAACCTATGAATCATTACACCACTTATAATCCATTTTCAGATAAATCAGATTTGACCAGCTGCTCACAATTAGTCCTCGAGTGTCAAAATTAACTATGGCATGGAATCATGAGACACCTCATTTTAAGCCCAAGGGGAAACAGATTGAGACAGCTGAGGAGGGCCATTTCAGTCACTGAATATAGGTTCATAATATGAACAAGACTGATAGTCTATTTTAATAAACTATATTTGCCTGGATCAAAGTTTATGTAACTTGATTTTTCCTTTGATATTTACACTGTAATAATCAATTTATAATAACGAGAAAACTAAATCAACAGATTTTATGAAAGATTTCAGAAACAAAGGTTCCTATAACAAGATGAACAATCTGCTGAACACGCAATTATTAATACATAAAAATTTTGAAACAGGAGCATAGTAAAAACTATTTTTAATATCCTAGTTTTTTTAGTTCTTAAGTCATCACTTCCCTCTCCACCGAAAATAGTTTTATTTGTATCAAATTTAATTTTTATAAATGAAAAAAATAAGGAAGGCTTTGAAGTACTTCCAGTACCACCAACACAGACTTGTTTTTAACTCAATGTAGGTCTTAAATGAATATTCTGCAGTATAGACAATAGCACTCTGATGCATATAAATTTAGAAAACAACACCTATAATGCCAAAGCTCCAGCCATTATGGAAAGAGTTAATTCTTCTCAACTACGCAGGAAACTTAACTATATTAAAATTAGTGTAGTTATAGACTAATATCTGCTGTTACAACTATATTCAAGTAATTTCTAGAAAGTGACCTTTTCCTTTATCTAGATACAACACATAGTACAGATTGTTTAGTTATTTTATGGCTTCATCACAGTAGCATTCAAGTTAGCCCCTGTCACTATCTAGTCTCTCAGTCCAACTCACTCACATATAAGCTTAAAAAGCTAAAAATCTTCAGGATGTTTTCATTGGAAGACACGTATATTAAGCAAATCTTATTGTTTATTCTTCTGTGCACATGCACAACTACTCATCAGTATCGGTGAGATTTACAAGTGCCCATCGAGGAAAGACTAACAGATTTATTTGGGCATAAGCTTTCGTGAGTAAAAACCTCACTTCTTCGGATGCATCGAGGAAAGGTAAATTCCCCTGGTTTTTAGATTAAAAAAAAATGGTGGTTCGCCTCTGTCAAATCAGGTGATACAGACTAACAGTTTGCAAAAATCACATATTGAAATGTTTCCCTAGAGTTAAGATTTATTAACAGAAATCTGTGAATCCTCACTTCTCATGCAATGCTGGGACCTGTTTAAGAGTCAGAGGCAATCTTTTTCTTGCAGAGTAATTCGGGGAACAAAATGTAACGCCAAGCGGTTAATCTGCCCGAGGGAACTGAGAGAAAAGCCTGACGGCATCACAAAACCACCTCCTGCCGTAACCGCTTGCACGAGGAAGTGCTCTGGCAGCCCGACACCCGCCATGTGGATGGATGTTCGCCTCTCCCGCTCAGGCGGGGCGCACAACAACCTCTGCGTGCGGCTGTCCACGCTGCGTGGGAAGAACTGAGGGCTTCGCACACGCACCGAGGGGGAGGCGGAGAGCGCCACGCCACGCCACCCGGGGGGACAGAGACATGAGCCGGGACAGGTGTCGGTGGGGAAGCCGAGGGGCTTGGGCCGCTAGTGCAGGTGCTGCGCCGGGTCAGAGCCGGGGCGGCTCGGGCCAGCGGTACCCGGCGGAGGCCGGGGGGCAGCAGCCCCTGCGCTTGGAGCCCGGCTCTGCGAGGAGGGGACTCGGGGCGGGAGGCAGGTGCAGGGACGCCCGGCGGAGGAGGGGGCTGGTACCGGTATTTCCTGAAGAGCTGGTCGGACTCGCGGAAGCCGTTGTTCAGCAGCATGTTGATCCCGGCCAGCGCCAGCTCCGCGTCCTCGATGGGCAGCGGCGACTCCTCGTCCTCCAGCGGCGGCAGCGGCTGCTGCGACCCGGCCATGGTGGCGAGACCGAGCCGGCTCCCCGCGCTCCTGTCACCTCCGCCGGGATGGAGGCGGGAGGGGAGCCGGCCGGCCGGCAGCGCCGCGTACGAGAGAGGAGGAGCCTGGGCCGCTCCCTCGCTGCGGTGCCGAGCCTGCTCACGCACCCCCTACTCTACGGCAAAGACTTTGATAATGCGCATGCGCGATAGACCTGCGCGTGGGCGACGAAGCTGTTGCCCTTGCCGCCTATCCGCTTTGGCTGCTGCTGCAGCCGCCGGGCCGGGGGTGGAACGGGGCTGAAGGGGCCGCGCGGCGGCTGCCGCTGGGCGCGCGCGGGGCTCACGAGCTCCGAGAGGGGCCGCGCCGGGGAGAGGAGCCGCGAGGGCAGCATCGCTGCCAGGCACAGCGGCGGGGCGCTGGGAAGGGCTGGGCTCGCTCCAACTCCCTCCGCCAGTTCCCAGCCTGGGGTGCAGTCAGCGGCTGCGTGGAGCGATAGCGAACTGTGCCCGCAAAGCGCAGAGCTGGGCGACACGGGTGTCCCGTGCCCCTCCAAATGGGTCCCGAGCCCGCAGTGATCGACCACCAGCTTGGGAGGATAAGCAGGAGGACTTGGGACCCAGTCTGCAAAGGGATCCGTACAGAGGGGCCCTTAACTGCACAGAGGCAGAGGAACCTGAAGAAGAGCTCTGTGTCGCCCCACAGCTTGTCTCTCTCCCCAACACAAGTTGGTCCAATACAAAATATTACCTCACCCACCTTGTCCCTCCAGAATCCCACCCATGCACAGTGAGGGGTGGCAGGCTTGTATTCCACTAGGCCGCTTACAAGTACAAAACTGCAATTGTACACATAGTGGGTTTTAAGCATTTTCATCCTGTCATGCACAAGAGAATGTCTCATGGACCAGCTCCCTTCCACACACCTGAAATCCCCCCTCCCAGCAAACTTCCTCAAAATATTAATTCTGTGGACTCCAGTGCACAGGCTGGGTTGGAGGTTTTTTGGAGGGGGATGGGGCAGGAGTCCCATGTACAGGGTAGGAGGGAGTTTGTACCTGGAGCCTTTCTGAGTTTCCTTCCTCACCCTTTGCATTTTCTCATGTCCTTCTCTCAACACTGCCTCTCTTCACTGCATTGGTGCACCTAGCACATGCAGCAGCATGCGTGCTCTCCAGCTGCACAGCTAGCAGAAGAGCTATTAATAGTTCCAACTCCTTGTGCAGAATCCTCTGTTTCCCTCATGTGAGACATAGTGTCTCCTCCTGCAGCAGCTGAACCCCCAGAGCTGGTTAGGGGGGAAGCTCAGCCTTTCCTTTCTCTGCATTGCAGCGTTCACTTTTCATTGCATTTTTTAATTTCATTTTTTTAAATGATTTTACTGCTGGTGAAAGAGGGTGAATTCACTGCCTAACAGACTGAAGGTTTTTGGTTTGTCCTAGCGCAATGCCTTTGCAGCTCTTCCTATGCCCTTCTGCCAATGGGCACCACTCATAAGAGTTTACCCCACCACTCACTCAGGGTGCTGAGAGCCATTGAACCAAACTGTAAACCTTGTATATAATAGAAACCACTTCAAGCCAGGGGGTATGGCAGCATCCCTAGTTCCAGCATCTATGCCTCTCACCAGTGCACCTACCAGTGGTAATGGGAACTTCCCCCTGAAGTTGACTGTAAAGGCTAACGTCCATGCCAGAGCAGCCCTTTTTTTAGTTTCATTTAAATCCAAATCATGCAGATCATTGAGTGAGCTATGGACAAGTGTACTACCATAAAGGTATCAATCCTAACCTACAAAATTATAATTTAGCACACTGTTAAACTCCCCCCACCTTCCCTAAACAAGAGACTGTTCTTCCTGGATTCCATTTTGTTAAGATACAAGACGTCACCATCTTCACAGTCCTGAAACCCTCCAAGAAATTTGAGTGGAGCAAAATACAAATCTGTTTATCTTCAGGGTGGGTACAGAATGAGGAAAAGGCAGCTCTACAGTATGCTTTTTGGTTTCCCTTACACCTAGAAGGGATGGGATCAAGGCAGCATCACCGCCCCCCAACCTGGTGTAAAATAACACTGACCAAGTTAGAATCACACTCTGAGGTATGATTCTGGGGGCAGCCACGTGACCATGCAATCAGTGAGTCCAAGAAGAAATGCAGAAATACATGGTCTGTGGGTTTCCTGACAGCTACAGATAATGAAGGCTAATCCCTCTGCCACTGAGAAGCAAACAGCCACCCCTCTATTTCCTAAATTCATAACCCAATAACTTTAGCATAGGGTCCTGTGTTATAGAATATCAGGGTTGGAAGGGACCTCAGGAGGTCATCTAGTCCAACCCCCCTGCTCAAGGCAGGACTAATCCCCAGACAGATTTTTACCCCAGATCCCTAAATGGCCCCCTCAAGGATTGAACTCACAGTGCTGGGTTTAGCAGGCCAATGCGCAAACCACTGAACTATCCCTCGGCGGTCATCACTATTGTTCTGTGGATCCAGTGTGTAAGGAGCTTGGAATCCTTGCAGTTTTGTCTTCAGACCTAGCTTCTCTAGACCATTTTGGCAGAGCTACTACTGCTAATCTATGTTCTGTACCAAATGCTGTTGTTACCACTCAGCAACCAGTTGTCTATCTTACAGTTAGGAAATAAATTACCACTTCAGAAAAGTATAAGTCTATGGAATAGTTTTGCAGCACAAGACTGCATTTCACTCGTACAAGGAGAAATGTAATCTATTTAAAATCAGTGATAGGGCACTGTGACTTTTGCAGTGTGAGTTTTACTGCCTAGTAGCCATAGTTTTATAGTGCCTCTATTATAAACTGCATTTCAGCTCTTTAGTGCAGAGCAGATCAGCAGTTGAGATCAGCAATGCTGCAAGTTGCATTGTGTGTTGCATAGTGATAAGGGCTTTAGCAGATCTGAGGATGGATTGAGGTTGCTGATTCAGTTTACAAGATGGGCTGGGGTAATGAGAAAACCTAAATGAACAGAGCAACACATGGGATTTGTACTGGTTAATGTGTCCTTTCCACCCCACCTTCCCCCTAAACCGCCACTCATTCTTAATGTCACTTTAGTAGTTCATAACGTATGAAGTGCATTTGTACAGCATTATTCTTTTTAAAGAGTGTTTTATTACTAATTAATTATTCCTCAATACACCTATTTGTAGCAATGTAGCATTATTATCCCTTTTTCAGAAACAGAGAAGATACACATCCATAGTTGCATCATTTTCATCTTACTTTGAAGATTTCTAATGCTACCATGCATTTGAAGTAAATTTTATAAATAACTGTCAATGAAACATTGATTTTTGGGGAAAGGATCTCAGAAAACTGGAAGAGAAATACATTTTATCAGAAGTTGGACTTATTTTATTTTTGCATAGCTCAAGTCCCACATATCCTGTTTTTGAACCTTGAGGTCAGTCTAATAAACTTTTCTTACATTCCAGTAACTGATCACAAATGAACTCTAAACAGAACTAAAACTTTGTAAACTTAAAACTTTGTGGATGAAAATGGGTCACTAATGAGATAATGGAGCCTTTCACCTCTAAGTCACAAATTCAACTTTAACCCAGTTTGGTAATGGCTGAAAATTATTACCATATGATGGCTCTTCAAAAGTCTATATGAAATGATACTATGTTTCCAGTCCAGTTTCTAGTGGCTAGATACCCAAACTGTAAAGCCACCATCACAGTTGGCTCTCATTAACATGTATGTTGACAGTCTCAACAGAGAGGTCAATCAATCACTGAATGTCCCTGACAAATTATCCTTTTTTCCTTAGAAGAGCTCCCTCAGTGCAGTATGAAGAAGCCTGCAATGTTGCTGCCTGTCCTATACTTGTTTTATGGATAAACAGAGATCTTCCTTCCAACTGTCGGACCAACATTTTTCAAGGTTAGTAAAATTCATGGAGCAAACAAGAATTGTACTCTTTAATTAACTAGCCACAATTTTCACTCTAGCTTCCAGGATAGCTTATTTAAAAAAAAAAGGATGCTAGCTACATTATTCATATCCTTTAAGAGCTATGAGACTGATTTACAACTACCGTGTGTAGTAGAGGAGAATCCGAGTGGTAGCTTATTACACGCAGTTTGTAAATGTCTGTTGTCACACTTCAGGGGGAGCTGTATCTTTGACCCCTCATTCAGACTATCTGTGGACACCCCTTTAAAGTGACAGGCCTGCACTTGTGGAACCCTTCTGCCAGGTGTTGACAGCAGCAGAAAAGGTTGGGTTCATTTTCTAAGGGCTTTCTTGAAGACTTAACTAACGCCAGCTTGAGCCATCACCCAAAAACCTAGGAAATTACATTTACCACCATAGGCATCATCACAGTTGCCAGGAGGACTGAAGTTGGGACTCCTGTTAAAGCCCAATACAGGGTTGGAGTCTTGCCTCAGAGAATTTGTGGCTTTATTAATATCTGGGTTTCTCAAGTTTATTCTGTTGTATTCTGCCCTCTTTCTCACCTTAATAAAGTTCTCTTTGTTTTAACCCCTAGACTCAGTGCCTACAAGTTGGAAAGTACTGTATATTACCCAATGTGGCTGGTGCAGTCTAGCCATTTCTCTCCTTCTCACTCACAGTTAGTTGACCTGGGTTGGAAAACTCCAAGCACGCTGGCAGTCCAGTGCTGCCTGGACTACACTGGGAACTCTACCATCTAACCCAGCTGGAGTATTTCAGCTTTAATTGCATGGTAGGGAGGTCCACACCAGAGTCTCTTGGGTTGGCTGCTGCTGTCTCTGCAGCATCAACCCAAACTGCCTCAGCTCTGCTTCAGCCACTGCTGCTCTGCACCATCTATCACTTTGAAAGCGCCACTGCTACTCTGCATCGTCTGTTGCCTCAGAGCTTCCACCACGGCTCGGTACCATCCACTGCCTCAAAGCCACCCTCAGCTCTGTACCATCCACTGCTCTATAGCGGTCTCAGCTCAGTTCTTTTAGAAGGACCACTATCATCTAGGAACCTTAACTGAGTCCTCATCACCAGAGAGGCACACCCAACAAAAGACAGAAGATGTTTTCCTTCTTTTCAGCTCTGTCCAGGCTCACTTACCCAAATATGCATGACAGCAGTCTCAGTGAGGGTGACCCCAGGCATATGCAATGTTGATGTCTAGTCCTTGTATTTCCCCAACAAGATCAGTAACATTTAATTGCCCCCAAACTCAAAGTTTAACTGTACTTTTACCAAAATGCCCCAAACTGTCATACCTATTCAATCAATTCCCTTTGCCCTCCAACAGATGTTGGCAGAGAGCCTCCTCCCCCGTGGAGCCCCTGCTCATCTGGAGTCTTAAGCAGCTCTCAGCCATTCTTCTCCCATTTCACCAATGGGTGACAATAGAGAGCTCTTTATTCTCTAACACAGGGGTAGGCAACCTATGGCATGCGTGCCAAAGGCGGCACGCGAGCTGATTTTCAGCGGCACTCTCACTGCCCGGGTCCTGGCCACAAGTCCGGGGGGCTCTGCATTTTAATTTAATTTTAAATGAAGCTTCTTAAACATTTTAAAAACCTTATTTACTTTACATATAACAATAGTTTAGTTATATATTATAGACTTATAGGAAGAAGCCCTCTAAAAATGTTAAAATGCATTACTGGCACACGAAACCTTAAATCAGAGTGAATAAATGAAGACTCGGCACACCACTTCTGAAAGGTTGCTGAACCCTGCTCCAACATTTCAGACCACAGGACTTACATTGATACTTCTCTCAGAAAGGAATTCTACAATTCACCCCACTCTTAAACCAGGTCCCCCTGTCAGAATAACTGTGTTTACCACCCTTGTTTCTTCAGGAGGTCCTACTGGGTTTTGGCACCTACTATAAACTTCGCTCTAGGAGCTGTGAACAGTATGAAAATGCAGTGACAGTTCAAAACAAAGTATTATTTATTTAACCATAGGCCTACATGCATACTATCTTACCTAAGCCTTAGCCTTGCCTTGCAGATTTAGTAAGTCACTCTTGTCCTAGGCACTCCCAAGCACTGGGGCTGGGTGAGATGGTCTGCACTCCTGCAGCTGCTGCCTCTGTCTGCCTGACCCTCAGTCAGCATCTCCACCTCTGTGTTCACGAGCCATTTTTATCCATTTCCAAGCTCCCTTTTCTGTCCTGGGACACCTGAACCTGGGGTATCCAGTTTATGTATCTCATCAGCCGTCCAGCAACGGTTTCACTGTTTTGTCTATTTAAACACCAGCAATTGAGTTAGCGTCATTGTCTGTCTTCTTGGAGATGTGTAAAACCACCCACAATTGAGTTAACTTTTCCCCCCATGTAGCAGACAACATAATAGTAATCACATAAACAGAGGTACACACACTATTTATAAAAAAATAATACAGATATCTCCCATGGTCTTCACAACTGTACAAGGTATAAGACAGTGTAGAATCAGGCCTTTAAAATCCTTTCAAGTACTTGTCACTCTAGTTTAAAGGTCAAATATAATCCAATTGTTAATTCTGAAAAGAGGTTAGAATTCAGGATACAGATGTCACTTTCAGACTGGCCTGTTAGGGATGTTTGAGCTATGTCAGTAATAGTCAGTGAATTTATAACTTTGAATGTTTTCCTCTTTTATTTATAAATTCCACTTCTTAAGAATGATATGAGAAGCCCCTAAGGAATCATTGTCATTTGTAAGTATCTAAAGTCACTTGGTCTTTGGTTTTGTACCTCATAATATACCATCAGCGCATACAGTAATGAAAGTCACTGCCTATTGTGTCTTATCACTTAAATATTTATGAGGTGAGCTTTTATCATTATGTGTTTTTTATAAAGCACAGCAGCCAAATGATAATACAAAAATCACACTAATCTTCATAGCTTGCTCTCCACAATTTCCTTTTAATGTTGTCATTTTTAGGGCTAAATCCTGACCTTTGGTGAACACATGAAGCACCTAGTGAAGTCAGTGGGAATACAAAATGTGATCCACAAGTCATGTCACGGTAGGTACTCCTGGCCTGTTTTTCAGTGGCCTTCTCAAAGGTCAGAGAGAGGAAGAAAGAAAAGCCAAAGATGATCCACAGGAAATGGGTTAGGGTGACCAGATGTCCCATTTTATAGGGACAGTCCCAACATTTGGGGCTTTTTCTTATATAGGCCCTTATTAACCCGCACCCCTGTCCCGATTTTTCACACTTGATAATGGTCACCCTAAAATGGGTACACTTTCAGAGTTGCCTGGCCACTCTTAGATGTCCCTAATCTCCACTACTGGCAACTGGTTCTTTTATTACTTGCTGCTACAGGGCTAACAAAATTCAGGCTTTTTCCAGATTTACAATTGCTATGGACCCAACATTTACTCAATCATACAAAGAGATGAATTCATGGATTTACTTGTTGCTGCTTCTAGACTTTCTGGCACTGACTGTTCTGCTTAAATGTAACAAATAATATATTTTTTAAAAGTCTATAATATTAAACAAAATTCATTGTCATATGCACAGTCACACAGCTGGTATTTTGTACTGTAACATATGAAGGTGTGTTATTTTTGCTATTTAAAGAACATTAAATAACAGTTTTTTTTCAGAATCAACACCAAACATATGTGCATAACTCCAGAGAAAACAAAGGAAAAACAAGTATTAAATACTAACAACAGCTCTATTCAGGCAGCAGCCACATGCTGACCTAGTTTACCAAAATTACTTGGGAAAACTTTTTCCCACACAGACTAATCTTATCTAAGGCACCATCACAATATTAGAATTTTTAAAAGACAATTTAAAATGTTTTACTTTCAGAAGGCTGACTTCTCATAGAGCTCAGAATTCCATCTGAGCAGGAGAAAATACCTACTTAAGCTGCTTCTGTCACAAAAGACCCTAAATGCTTAAATCCAGTTAACAGACTGGCCTTATTTAGGAATGGATAGATCTCTTTCTCTCTCTTTTTTCTCATTTGCAAATACACCCACAAAATCATTTTAAAAGTGCCATAATGGTTTCAAGCTTCTGATGGAAAATTAATGATCTGTAAAGCTGTAGATAATTATGACAAACATTTCAGCTGTAGTAAACTCTGTCTAAATTAGTGTCTTGAAAATGTTCATGTAGTTTAAAATAATAAAAAATGCTTGTAGGTCATAGCTAATAATGATCATAACATAATAAATAACTCATAAGCTCACTTCAACTAAGGGTTATTATGTTTCCACTAGTTTAACAATACTTTTTCAGTACATTTTCACAGTTGTCATGAAGCTTGATGCATTAATATGATTTGGTAGGGAGTTATTTAAAGATGATTCACACTTTTCCTATCTCACTTTGGGGATTTAGACATATATAATATCTTAAATATTCAAATGCTTTCATCATTTTGTCCCCCAACCCTGCTCTACAGAAATAGAAAGGCTGCAAGGAGTGAAACATCACTGGGTGGGAGATTGTTTGGGGTTTTTGCTTTAATTTATGTGTTTTAATTTTGAGGTCAGATTTTGGTATTCCCAGCACCTGCTCTTCTTCCTGGTTAGAGAAAGGGGCTGGGAATGTTTTGTTGAAAATGCCTGTGACAAAACCAGTCAGTCAACAAACATAGCATAGTTCCAGCCTTGCTAGGCTGGAACACTAACACATGCTAGCTTAATTCTTTACATTCAAATTACTCCTTTGTGGACCAAGCTGGGAGGAGGGAGATGACACAAACGTACCTTTTACTTGGGAGAGGAAAGTCAAATCAATGAGCTTAAGAGCTGAGGTACACAGAAGGGAGAGACTGAGGGGATAGTTATAGGGGTTCATTGAGCTACTGAAAACTGACTTTGCTAAGAAGCGGGAGCCTTGAATCCTCTGTAATGGATCTAGGTGCTTCTACCTCCTTTTCCTAAGACTCCTCAACCAATACATAGTTCCTCTCCTGGCAGATGCTAAAAGCACATCCTTTCTCTTTTTTTCTGAAATATAGTTGCAGGTGGGAACCCCACTTTAAGATCTAGGGAGGAATAAAAGTTTTGGGGTTAAGGCACAGGACTTGCAGACAAGAGATTCCAGCACAACTTTCCTATGTGAACTTGGATCAGGCATTGAACTTCTCTGTGCATCAGTATCAGTATCATTTTACCATCTGTAAAATGGTAATTATAACTCACATTAACCCAGTGTGGATCTTTATCCCTCTTTAGTGTCTGGCCCACATAAAAGATATTTCTCAGTATGTTTCTTCCTTCAGACTAATGGACCACATTCTTTAGCTCAAGCAGTAGAGGCGGATGCTCTTAGAGCCAGAGGTTCATTCCCCACAATGACTTGATTAGGGTGTCCTTACAGGATAATAATACTTTCCAACCTCAGAGGTATGTTGCAAGGCTTCCCTACTCCATGTTTAAATGCTCTAAGATCCTTAGATGGAGGACACTGTAGACAAGTGTAAATTAGTGTTCCTAACTCTTTAAATATGAACTTGTGAATACTATTTTTATTTATTGTCCCTGCTTCCTTTAAGAATCATGTGCATGTTTCATATTTTATTACTGAATACATCCCAATAATTCAACTCTCTCATGGTGATTCATGACACTTACTTCTGGGAGAAGCCTCCTTTTCCCCACCCATACTTATCTTCAGTTTTACTCTTCTTGTAACCAGACATTACTGAAGTCTGTCAAAAGTGGTGGCCACATTATTTGTCTTCATCACTGAAATAAGTTGCTACATTTCAAATAAAGTGCATAGGAGATTTGGTTCCTCCATTGGACAGTCCTGTTAACAGTGCATCTTAATAAGCCTGAGCTGACAAAGATGGTGAGCTTGTTCCTTTGCATATGCAGGAATCTGAACTACAAAAATCCTAGATCCTGTCTGTTTTAGTTACTTACATTTTAAAAATGTGATCCTGCCCTCCAGTAAGTGGTGTTCTGTGCATCCTTGACTGGATTTAAAAAATCAGCTCTGGGGCTTGCACACAAAAACACAGCAGCTGACTTTTCCAAGAAGCAACATGTATTGTTGCATACATCATAAGGCAGAATAAAGTCCTAAAACGCTCCGAGGGGCAGGAGATCTCTCTGACTGTCAAAGTTATTGTTTCTAGTTGCTGGATTATCATCAGTGAAACTGCTGTGGTCTGAAAAGTTTTGCCACATGTGCGCAGGAAAATAACTGCCTGTGCTATATAATTTAAAGGGGGTGCAGAGAATCATCATTTCCCTCTGTAAGCCCAAAGCGAAGGGCTCTTCCTCTATTAAATCTGTTAAATGTGTGCATTCAAGCAGAATAATATTCATGCACAATCAAGTGATAGTAATCGCCAGAGGCAACAGCTTGGTAGTGTTGATCATGCTTAAATAATCTTTATACCAATGCATTTCATTTTTTCATCTGCTCTTCTAATATCAAAAACTAAGTGTTTTGATAAGAGTGTTTCACCCAACAGTCCCTGAATTTTTACTATAACTATAAAGCGAAGAGTAAGGATAATGTTTTTGTCACTTG